ATTATAAAGACTATAATAACCCTGAAATAAATTAAAATTACAAAAACACCATGATTTTCGCTCCAAAACGACGTCGTATTAGGCTTACTGCAGATAACTTATTTACAGTGACTGCAGAAAAGTGAACTCTTTATATATTTTTACTAGATTTAGCCATTGATTTATATTATATTATTTATTTTAAATAAAATATAATAAAATAATTATTTAAATAATAAAAAATATCATTTTAAATATTTCGTTTTAATTGTGATTGGTCTTGAAAGCTTGATAAGTTTAATTAGATTAACAGGTCTAAGGTCAGTTTTTTATTATTAAATATATGCTAGACCAAAGACTATCATTACCCACAATAAGTTAATTGGTCATATTTGACTTAAAATATTTCATATAAACCTAATTTATTCAGACCAAAATTTAACCTAACGTAATCCATTTACTCCCCTCATTACTTGTGTGAGATTTATGTTTGTTACTAGAGAGCATTCAAGCAAAAATGTCACACTTTCTAGACATCTTCACTATCGTGTCATATGTGAATTATACATATCTAAATGACTAAATGTCTTATATCAATTTACAAAAAAAAAAAAAAATGTCTTATATCAACACATTTCATGTCAAATTATCTTAATATCTATATCTATTAACGCTTCCTAAATGGCATGCATACACAATTTAATGATAACAACGAATTTAGAGAGATTGTTATATGCTAAAAAAGCAACCCAAATCTTTATCATTCAATAACCTAATATTAATTGAGTGGTTAACTTGATTTGGGTTAACTTACTGATCGTTAGATCATAATCTTAATTAACATTTATTTTTCTCTAAATCATAACCTAATATTAACTGAGTGGTTAACTTGATTTTGATTTAACAACAAAAAAATAGTTATAAAAATTATAAGAAAAAAGAAATTTAAATTAACCTGCCTTAAATAATATATCTAAAAATTTCTTAAATTTGTATAGAGGAAAACCTTGCCCTAAAATTATAGAAAGAGAAAAATATTACTATATATATTTTTTGATACATGAAAATGAATAAAAGACAAAGCAAAGAAACAAATACATAAAATAAAAGATTAGCCCTTTCCTTTTGGAGGATGAAGAATGCCCGTCACGTCCACTTGGAGAAGAAGTTACAGCAAGTCAGGAGATTCGTCAAAGATAACAACATCTTGTAATCCATAATTATTGAGGGGAAGATTAGCTAAACAATCAACACAACAGTTGGCTTCTCTAAATGCATGTATAACAGAAATCTGTCAGTCACGATCAAGAAGTGCTCGTATCTAGTCACCAAGTGAGACCCATGAGCTGCACCACCACATTTGGTGAGCAAAGCGACCACCGAAGTAGAATCACTCTCAAGAATTAGATGACACCAACCTCTCTGCCAAGCAATATTAAGACCATTCTAAACCCCCCACAATTCTGATGTAAGCATATTGCAGATTCCAATGCGAGACGAAAATCCCATGAGCCAAGATTCATAAGGGTTGCGGAACAAACCCCCAGCTGCACCTGGAGATCCTCTTGTAGCACCGTCCGTATTAAGCTTAATGAACCCAAATGTTGGAAATTTCCAACGGACTAAAATATCAATTGGATAAGGAATATCATGTGTAAAAATACCCATCATGTCCACAAATTGACACTGAATAAAGGCAATAGAATATGGTAATAGAGCAGCCACCATATGAGAATGAGCAACTTGATTTCGCCAATACCAAATCTTGTATAGGAAATTAATGAAAAAGGAAGACCAAATACGAATATCAAGCTTTTCAAGGAACCAGAATTCACGCAACCAGTAGAATAAATTGCCCTGAAAAATTCATCATGAAGAGCTAAAGGAATAAAGGCACACTATAATTCACGAATCACCGAACAATCGCGCAAACCATGAAGAATTGTCTCATCTTCTTGCCTACAAACAGGACAAGCACTATCTCCATAAGACCAAGAAGCAACCCAATTTCTAGTAGATAGTTTACCGTGAGCAATCTTCAATAAAAGAAACTTTAAACGATGAGGGCCATTCCACTTCCATTCTTATCTATAAAAGAAAGGTTTGATAGGAAGCAACTGCAGGTAAGCTTTCGGCCTTTGGGATTTAACATGTGCTTGTTCCACCATGCTTTGAAGGAGTAGTGGTTTATGTGGTATATGTATTTGCATAGATTTGATATGATGCATTGGATATATGTATGTGTATGTTATGTGTTTACACTTGGTATGTTTCTTGTGTAATTCATAGAGTGTAGGTTCTCTGGCCAGTAGAATTTATTATTATTGCGGCATGAGCATTCTGGAGGAATGTTTGAATGAGCATTATTTGCATAACATGAATATGTATATATTGTATCATATAATTTATTGCTTTTATGCTGAAGTGAACTTAGGGGTGGAGGAATCTCTAAGGGCCCCTGGTTTACTGTGATATATATGTATATCTCACCCCGCGTTATGGGAATTTCAGGTATAGGTACTGACGGTGCAGGAGCATCACAGGGTACGAGACAGAGCTAGATTGCCATGATATTGCATGAATGTGGGATTTGTTTTGATGTATATATTTACATCTCACATGTCATATATGTATTTTGGAGAGTATAAGGGATGCCTATACCTCTTTTGATTATGCCTATGGATATACTTAAGCCACATGTATAGGTTATTTCACTTCTGTATCTTTTGTGTAATATTAATGCATAGAGGAGAGACTTAGCCTATGATCAGAGTTATTGAATATCTTTTATGCTGTTGATGCATGTAAAGGACTTTGATCATATGTTTTGTATTGTTAAGTTCCCGTTTATATAGACGGTGGACATTTATGTATTTTGATACAATTATGATAAAGGGCTTGTACGTCTATTAGATAGACTGAGATGATGTCAATATTTATTAAACTGTTTATCAGGTTGAGATATCATATGAGAACTATCCCTAGATGTCTGAAAAACACACAGAGCTCTGTCTATTTTGTTTAGGCGATGTTGGTAGGAGATTATCACTTTGTGTGATTAACTATCTTCATTGTCATGGGAAACCATGTTATTTATGGGAACTTCATGGTGGTATGATATGTTTAAGCGAGATTAGATGTTTTCGCAATTTGTATTAGTGATAACTACAGTTTGAATTGTTTATAAATACAAAAAGTATTTTAAGCAGTAAAAGATAACTGTTTAAAAAGAATAAAATTTGTCCGTGTTTTAATCAATTATTATGATTGTAACTGCGCTTAATATCATACGTAATGATAACAAAACGGTTCTAAAATGTGGTGTTACAAAAAGTATCAATCTAAGATACTAATTCTAATACGAGAGCAATGAACCTGAACATGAGCTTTCAGAGGAGGCATCAAAGATCCAGAATTTCACTGCCCATAAGTAAACCTTATAAACAAGATGTAAAGCCTACATGTATGGACACATATTTTCTCTCTATTGTTACGCTGTCACTGTGAACACATCACCCTTTTGGCTAGCCTATTAATGCACAATGATCTGCTGCATTCAAAGATATCTAATTCATAAATATACGAGAGAACTTACATATCCAAAATCAATTTAGTAGTCTCTTAACTAACCATCTCCGTCCCTTTGTACAGAACATATACCATCAATTTCATTATAGATTTATAGTAAGATTATCTAGCAAATAGGGAAACATGAGAATCAAATTGTCTATATATATAATGACACCAATGCCTCGTTTGTGTGATGCAACTATTGCTTGATTCCATCTCCTGAATTGTTTCTTTTAATTACGTACCTGCTGGTAAGAACAGAAGAATTAGCCGGTTTAGTTGGAGGTTCGAATCATTTTTAATCAAATCTGATCAACTGAATAAAAACAAATAATAAAGAGCCAGGTATACTTGTAATCTAGAAATTCGACCGGCTTTTATCCAAAAATAAAAAATAAATCATTTTCATAATTTTTTTTTTTTTTAGATTTTTTTTATAATATGTTACGTCCAAGTTTTTTTTGGTTACATTTCGACCAAGTTTTGAAATATATATGTAAAACCGATGTCTGTTGAATTTTCTTTATATTCCTTTTGAAAAAGTAAAACCCAAATTGAAGACCATGAAAAATTGAAAAGACAGCGAACGAGGTTGTTATTTTGTTACATGATATTTTGTTTGGGTACGCTGTTATTTACTAACGTTAAAATTAGGATTCACAATCCGTTTAGGGACCCACCTATCCTGACACCCAATCCTTGCTGTAATAGTTTCATTGTTGAAGATTTCTCCTTCCCTCCTTTTGTCCTTTCTTTTTTCTTCACAGGGTATGTACTTTCATTTCCAGAGATCTGTGTTTCTCATGCAAATGTGTTGGTATGTTAAAACACTTTAATTTTTGCCTCTTTCCATTGCTTTTTGTCCCTTCTGTTCCTTCTTTTTGTAGTTTTCTCATTAGGCTATCTGGGTTTGACGCTTTTTTTTTTTTGAATTATGCTATATGGGTTCTTCTCCATTGTCCATTACATTGCTAAATTTGTATATTGAAATTTTGGAGTTTTCTCTTGAAACTGGGCGTTCTAAATTGGGTTTTGATGGCTTATTGAATTCTATTATCTGGGTTCTTCCCCGTTTGTTCATTGCATTAATGAATCAGATGAAAGTTCTTGCTTTTTCTTTGTTGAAGTGGTGTTTTTTTTTTTATATTTAGTTCTTTTCATGAATGGGGCTATGAATGACTTTTATTGAATACGTTTGTCATACATGTGTTTCAAGCATCTATGGTCTCCATTTTGAAGTTCTGTTGAAATTTCTATGGCTCCTCCCTTTTTCTCCATGCATGTAATTCTGTTTTCTTTAACGGTTCGCTTGGAATTCAACATTTTTCTTAACCGGGTTGAATTTGATTACGTTTAAGTTTTAACACAAATTTTGTTCATTTTATGTTATTAATTTAAAATCTATTACTTTTTTTTTTTTTTTTTTTGGCATCAAGGTAAAGGACTTGCACATGGGGAGGAAAGGGGGTTGGTTTTCTTCAGTGAAGAAGGTTTTCATTTCTGATTCCAAAAAAGATCAGGTTTGAACAATATGTGTGTTACATTACCTTTTTGATTACTGCTTTTCAAATCAGAGAAGATTCTCATTCAAACAATTTGTTCTTGTTAATAGAAAGCACAGAAACATCATAAGTCCAAGTTAACATGTTTTGGACATTATCATGGGGATCCAGAACCAGCATGTGAAGAATCAGCAATTGCTGTTGTTCCCGCTCTTCCACCTAGAAAACGAGTTAAACCAAAAAAAACTGAGGCAGAGAATGAAGAGAACAAACAAGCTTTTTCTTTGGTTTTAGCCACTGCTGTCGCAGCAGGTGCTGCTGTTGCTGCTGCTGCAGAGGTTTCTCGTCTCAAAACTGAGCCTCGTTACCCTGGAAAATCAAATGAAGAGATAGCAGCTATCAAGATTCAATCGGCATTCCGTGGATATTTGGTATGCACTTCTAATCCTATTCATTTTGTTTTGAACAATGCTACACAAACAACTAATCACACTCAATGAATCCACACCCCACTTTTTTTTTTTTTTTTTTGGGATAAGGAGAATTTGTATTTGTATAGCAACAACTTTCTAATGGTTCTTGTTTTGGGGCATTCAGGCAAGAAGATCATTGCGTGCCTTGAGAGGTTTGAAGAGGTTGAGAACATTGGTACAAGGGCAATCTGTTCAGAGGCAAGCAGCTACCACCTTACAATGCATGCAAACTCTTTCCCGATTGCAGTCTCAGGTTCGTGCAAGGAAGATTAGAATGTCTGAGGAGAACCAGGCTCTTCAGCAGCAACTGCAGCAGAAACGGGAAAAGGAACTTGAGAAGTTGCAAGCTTCTGTAAGCACTTTATATGAGTTCTTACCTGTTAATTGTTATGATGCATGTTAATAGGTTACGGTGAAATGCATGTTATAGGAACTTGAGTTCTGTATAGTGCCTCTATCTATTGAATGTGAATGTGTTCGTGTTTTCCTAATAAAGAACCATGCATGTCTGATGTTTTCTGGTTAATTTATTTCCCATTTTCCTTCCTTCTGAACTTTTTGTTCATCACCCCCTTAAAACTTTATGAAAATATTAACATGCTAATGTTCTGCTCATCAGCAAATTACTAAAGGTCAAATATATCTTGGGGGAAAATATGATTTGGTGGATGTTTTATGCTATGCTACTACTGATCTTTTTGGATCTAATGGTCTCATATTATGTTTACGTCTCTTGGTGACTTATTTGTTCAGTTGCACTGGTAGACATTTTTCTTGCTTTGATTTTCTGTTTAAATTTCTAATAAGAATATGTAGTTTTTCGTCTTAAAACAAAAAGCTTGAAATAAATGATATATGAGCAATACTGCTTTCAAAATTTGTACTGAAGTGGTAAATACTTTTGCAGCAGGTTGGAGAAAAATGGGATGATAGCTCGAAATCAAAGGAGCAAATTGAAGCAAAATTGTTGAACAGACAAGTAGCTGCTATGAGAAGAGAGAGGGCTATGGCCTATGCATTAGCACATCAGGTAGGAGACTGCCTCTTTATATATTATTTTCGATTTTAATGGAACAGAGAGAAACAATTTATGGATTCAGTTACATTTTGAAGTCTTCTATCTAAATTCCATGCACAAATAAGTCCATATTGATTTTACTACACTAGTAAATTGGTTTTTACTTGTACAGTATTTTAAAGTGTAAAAAACATATCCAACATGTGCACTTACCAAGGCATTAATGTAGAATTTTGTTGTAAATGAAATGTGGAAAATACATTGAAAATACAATACACGTTTAGACTTGTATTCTATTGGTCTATGCATCTATTAGTTTTGGGTGGGACGATAGGTTTAATATTTCTGGTCAATATAATTGATTTCCTATGGATAACCAATAACTTTCTCCAACAGCAAACATGGAGGAACTCTTCAAAATCTGCAAATGCCACATTTATGGATCCAAACAATCCCCATTGGGGCTGGAATTGGCTAGAGAGATGGATGGCTACACGGCCATGGGAAGGACAAAACACTATGTATAACAATGACCATTCATCTATAAAGAGTGCTGCAGGCCATAATACCATGTCAGTTGGGGAACTCACCAAATTGTATGCTCAACGTGACCAGAACCTTGATACTAAGAACTCCCCTGCTAGCCAAAAAGTAAAATCTCCTCGCAGTCACAATCCCCCTTCAAAACTAGCTTCAAAGGCCTCACCATCTTTGACATCTTCCAATAGTGGAAAGACAAAGGCACCAAGTCCAAAGGGTGGTTCATGGGGTGGTGATGGTGACTTAAGAAACATATTTAGCAAAAACTCAGAAAACAATCGCAGGCATAGCATTGCTGTGTCTCCAGTGAGAGATGATGAGAGCCTTGCAAGTTCACCTGCATTTCCAAGTCAAACCACATCCACAAAGGTTTCAAAGGCCAAGTCCAAAGTGCAAAGTCCATCATCTGGTGTACATAAAAATGGAACACAACAAACACCTGAAAAAGGAGCTGTTGTTTCTGCAAAGAAGAGGCTTTCTTTCCCAGCTTCTCCAGTTGGTTCAAGAAGGCATTCTGTTCCAACTAAGGTTGGAATAAGTTCCAATAACAAAAATGTTGCTACCATCCCTGAAGATAAAGTGAAAGAGAAAAATGGAGGGAGCAGGTAGGGATGCCATTGGTGAACAAGTCCCATAGAATAGAAAATTATATTGTGAATGAAAGAAGAATATCAATAAAAGGTTGTATTATCTTTAATAGTTGTTTCTATCATCCTTTTCCTTAAGAAGCTCTATTGTTGGTGCCATGGGGAGGAAGAGAGAATAAAATGTGGCTGTTAAATTCATCATCTTTATTCATACTTGTCTTCATACTCAATGCAGACAGCTTTTTCTTTTACTTCTTAAATGTATGTAGCAGTGCTATTTGTGATTGGTTTTGAGGGTGATACTAGTTTTATGATAATATATATATATATATATATATATATATATATATATATATATATATATATATTATTTTATTTTTGTTGTTGTTGTAATCTTGATTATGTTTATTTTTATTTATATTTATATTTATCATCGTAAATTGTTTTCTAGACCATGGTTTAGACTGTGACTATGTTAGATCCATTCTCTTCATTATGTCAGGGGTATGTTATTTTTATAAAAAAAAGGCGGACCCAGTTCAAGACCCACTCCGTGAGTGTTTGGGGAAGGAAAATTTGAGTCAATTCTCACCCCTGCTTTGCAGGGGGCCGAGTCGAACCCCTGACCTGGAACACTATGATTCTTGCTTACCGCTGAGTCAGGCCGGTTCTTCATGTTATTTTTATACCAATATAAAAATAAAAAATCTTATATTTCAAAAAGGTTGAGACGTGTCCCATTCAAATATAAAAGTTAAGAGAGACAAATTTCTATTTCTTATTAATTGTTAGATATCCGATTGATGCATAGACTGAAAGAGTTCCTTTAGATAAGCCATATTTATTTCAAATCTCTCAACAACTAATAGACATCAATTTAACCAAATTTTAGTACATTTATCTCTTATATTAAATTAAAAATTCATGATGAATCGGATAATTTTTTTTTATTGATTTCATTTTGTAATTTACTTCTATTTCAGTTTATAATTAAATTTGAATAATATACATCTAATTCGATTATGATACATAGTTTTCTCTAAATTATTTTAGTCTATATATGTGTTTATTTATTTTTCAATTTATGAAATTAAACATGCAAAATAACTTTTTATGGCAAAATAGAATTTTTTTCTCTCCCCCAATATATATAAAGTTTGATTGAATTCTACATTTTTGCTTTCGTCGTGGAGAATATTATCAGTTAATGGTTTGTTTTTTGATTTTTTAATTTTTTTCTAACACCAATGGGTGTTTGCACAAACTTTTAAGATGTGTTTGTTCGAAAGAAGTGTTATTTTCTTTTCTTGAACGTCCCTTTGCGTCAAGTAAAAATTTAAAACAAATGCACCGTTAAATAACACTTTTTTTTTGTTAAAAAATATTTAAGATTGAAAATTAACAGGATATGAAAATGTTATTCAAAGAAATCAAATATTCTACTTTGTTTACTTAAATTACATTTTGTTATTTTCTTTTGATTTTAAGGGAAAAATATTTCTATTATCATAGAAATTAAAATTATTTCTAGCAATTCCAAAATTCATCAAAATACTCTTTATTAATTCTCTCAATATTTAAAATAATATAATTTTGAAATTATTAAAAATAATTTTATCTCTTATAACATGAGAAATGATAAGGCATGATTTTAATGGATTTTACATTTTTACTATTCTTCTGTCAAAGAAGATAGCATGTTTTTCTTGCAGAAAAGAGTCCATTTTTTTCTTTCTTTCTTGTTTTGGTGGGTCCCATTGCTAATTTGTGAATGTAGTTGGAGAGAAAAAATTTCCTATAAAAGAAGATTAATAAACCCCAATTTTAATATAGTAAATTGCATTTTGTTATTAACCCTCACGAAACAACTTTTGATTTTGGTCATATCACCAAAATAGGTAAAAAAATTAATTTATTATTTTTTAATAAAAATTACAATTATTTACACAAATATAGCACTTAAACATGCCCATTTGGGACGTGTTTTAATGAAGGGAGACACGCTTATATGGGACGTGACCTACGTAAGAGACACGTCCAGATGAGGCGTGACTAGGGGTATAAATGGGCTGGGCTGGGCTGGGCTTTGGCCATCTTGGCCCAAGCCTACGTCAAAAAAAATTCAGCCTATCTGGCCTACTAGCCTATTAAAGGCTTTATTTGTAGGCCAAATCCGGCCCATTTTCAAAAATAAGAAAGTCTGACATGGCCTACAGGCCTTGTAGGCCTCCCACTATATATACTAAGCAAAAACAATAATTGTATAGAGCAAAGAAAGTTCCATTCATGCATGCACTAGTACTTCTCATAAGAAAAAAATGACAAACAAGAAAGAGTCAACATAATACCTCAGCTCTAGAATGTATATCATAGAGGAATAGAGTCAAAGAAATGGAAAAAATAAGAAAAATACAATTACTGGATGCTGAAATAAAGTCTACAAGAGAATGTCATTCATCTAAAAATCTTTAAACCACCATCAAGACAAGGGAAAGAAGAGTATTATTGAAAGATCTTCATCAGTAACATCATAATACAGCAAGATACCCATTGCTCCATGGTATTAAGCTGCAACAGCATGTAAAATTTGGAGACATTAGACAAGTTTTCCTTTCATAAAATAAAATAGCACAAAAAGTAAGAGATATTGGTATTTGGTACTTTTTGTCTTTGTCACATAAAATAAATATTATTTTATTATTTTATTTTAATAAATTAAATAGGCCAGCCTACAAGGCTGTAGGCCGGGCTTGACAAAATTGACCTATGGCCTATTTATTAAAAAAGTTTTTTTATAAGCCTAAGCCTACTCTACTTTTCTAAAAAGCCAGGCCTGGGCTGAGCTCAATGTAGGTCGGATCGTAGGCTGGGCTGGGCCAGCCTGACTCATTTACACCCCTAGGCATGACGAACACACGCCCCATTTGAGCGTGACCCTAAGAGGGAGACACGCCCACCTGAGCGTGAACGAGGTTAACGATATTTGTTTTCTTTTACATAATTACGTGCACCGCTGGGCGAGCTTTATATGTCCCGTCATCAATTGTGATTCTCATTACATTAAAATATTTTTAAAAATCACGTGCTTCTGTCGTTCAAAAAGAAGAGTGAATAGTATACTTTGGAGTTTGGATAGCTTTCATGTGTACGATTGAAAGTTAAATTGAAAGTTATATTATGAAAATATCTATTGAACTTCAGAGAGAGATGACATGAGAAGATTTTGGCCTGCCCTTTAAACCAAAAAAGTAAAAGAAAAAAGAAAAACTAATAGTCTCTGGAAAGCTGGAAGGGAAAAACTTGAGATCTTTTGTTTGAAGTAGTGCAAAGTTAATTTAAAAAAAAGTAAAGGTTCACGCCCAGGTGGGGCGTGTCTCCCCTGGGGTCACACCCAAATGGGGTATGTCTTGGTCACGTCTATTTTAGGTGTGTCTCTCTCCCGAGTCACGTTTGTTTATGGGTGTGAGTGATCACGCCTATTCTAGACGTATTTGAGTGTAATAGATTTATAAATAATTTTAAAACGACTATATTTTCATAAATTTTTATTAAAAAGACAATAAATTAATTTTTTTTGCCCACTAAAACATCTTTTTGTTTTAGTCACATTCCCCAAACTCAAAAGTCAAAGTAGCATAGTAAGAGCTATGCTTTCGCTTCTTAGGTGGATGGCAAAGTCCTAAAGAGAGAGAGAGGGCCATGAAATATGGGGACAGTGCCCACTTTGATAGTGGACTTGATAGGAATTGAGGGTTCAATGTTTTTTTCGCTTCTTAGGTGGATGGCAAAGTCCTAAAGAGAGAGAGAGGGCCATGAAATATGGGGACAGTGCCCACTTTGATAGTGGACTTGAAGGAATTGAGGGTTCAATGTTTTCAGTCCATAGTCATTCAATTATATTAAGAGTATTGGATTAAATGAAGATTGCTATTTCAATACAATATTCATGACAAAAATAGATGATTGCTAACAATCTTTAAACCCCCCCACCCCCCAAAAATAAAAAATAAAAAATTTGATACAATACAACGTCCTTGTATTTTAAATTGAGACAATTTGAAAAATTTCCACCCATATACAGCCTTGAAGCTGCTCCCATTGGATACAATGTGTGGTTAACTGCAGAAGAGGAAAAGCCTCCAAAAAGTCCATTCAGAAATTTGAAGTATGATGGCTATTGGCAAATATATTACCACTTGGCATGAACTTAGCCATTCAAAAATATTCTCAACTCAATGTCTAATATACATAATATACTTATACAATGTGTCCATACACGTTGGACTCTTATATGAGCATTTTGTGTGTGTTTTTTAGGCACGTATATGTTCACTTATGTTACACTTCAATCTGTCATAAAAAACAAGCTCGAGTTGGATAGGAGTTTAAATGTTTTTTTGTTTTTAAAATAAAATAAAATAAACTAGTTAATTAATAATAGCATCGTCAATAACAAGGAAGGGCAATGACCCTGAACTGAAGTTCCTATCTTGTTGTCCCTAATCCTCAGTCCTACATGGCCTTACGTCAGCTATTATCCATTCAGCATGCGTTATCCAAAACAATAAAACTTCTTTGAAATCATCAGCATTAATAGAGGGATAAATGAAGTACAAGGCTGTAATTATTATATGATATATGAATTAATCACTTTTATCATGTTAACTACAAGAATTAATATTTTCAACTTACCTCTTATTACACATAAAAAAATACGATAAATATTACACACACTATTATCGTAATGCGTAATTATTTTATGAACTTTATTTCTCACGTAATATAATAACAGATAAGTTATCTTATATCGTGAAACAAATAAGTAGAGTTCATCAATTTTTGCATGAGTAAAATATGAAAGATGAATCTCAGCCAACATGTGAATATAATTTTTCTCATTTCATCTAATATATAAAAGTATTATATTTTATATCAAGTATATACAAAATTTTGCTTGTTAAAAATATTAAATGTTTCAAAAAAATAAAATAAAATAGACGAAGTGCACATAAAATATTTTAGAATAAATTATGCATGAAAAGAAAATAATTTTACAAACTATCAGAATTTATTTGATTATATTATGGACTCAATTTTTTTTTTCATTAAAGCAAAAAGTGATTAAAAACAAAAATTTTTTCTTTTGGTACTCAATGTTCTTCTTCTTCCTCTGCCACCCATATCAGTCTCTAAGGCAAACTCTGTCCAAAACCACCGCTTGATGCCCCCTTATCTCTTTCCAATCTTATCCAAAATTTCCCCTTCAATTCTCTTCACTCTTTGTCTCCCTCTGCTTCCTGCACGCACTATGCAAAAAAAGCTTTCTTTTTTCCGTACTAAATTAGAGTTAATCTTGAACCAAAATGTACAATCTTAATAGGTTATTTTGTTCTCAAAAATGGATTCTTTTCCATTTATGAATTCAATTAGCTTATCCATTACAATCCTATTTTCATTACAATCTGATATATAATCTGTTGATTTTTATTTTCTGCACTTTTTCCGTTTTCTCTTAAGTGGAAAAAGACTGTGACTTTTTCAAAGGGTTGATCAGAAATGGTGTCAGCTAACGACCCAGTTGAGTCTTTCTTCAATTCCATTCAAGTTGTGAAGGAATCGTTGTCTCCACTGGAAGTGGGTTTTCGCAAGGCGGCGAAGGATCTTGAGCATTGCTTGGTTTGGCCCAAGAACAAGGGCAATGGTGTTTGTTTGATTGCCCAGGTGAAGGAAGGTGGTGAATTTCAGATCTGTGATGTCAAGAAGAAGAAAGGGTTGTCAATGAAGGTTCCCTTGAAGGCTTTCTTGGGTTTATTCTCACAGAATTCAGGGAATGGGAATGGGAATAGAGCTCAAGTGGCTAAGGAAGATGGGTCTTCTTGCACCAATTGCTTGCAGTTTGCTGTGACTTGGTCTTTGTTGGTTAATGGGTTTCTTCAGTCTCTGCCGGTTCCTTTCAAATCTGGGAGGAAGAGGTTTCAGAAAGTGGATGATGAAGATAAGTTGTGTTCCTGCATGAAGCCAACTGTTTCATCATGTGATGTGAAGCAGAATGAATCCAAGGGTCAGTTTGTTAGAACAGTTAGGGAAAAGGGTATGAAGAGAAAGGATGGAAAACATGTTTCAATTGAATGCCTTATAGGTTTTATCTTTGATCAGTTATCTCATGCCCTTCAGGTTCTTGATCATGGGGTGCAAGAAAATGACCTTGACTGTGGGAAAACTTCTCTTCCCCAACCTCCTTCATCTAATTTTGGTCATGTGAGTGTATTCACAAGTTTCTTGGAAGGGCATAAAGTAGATGTGAATGGCTTCTTGGGGAATTTAAGATTTGCAAAGTTGGGTGGTGTGCCATCAAGTGTAGTTGGAGAAGAAAGCCCCTCAACAAACGAAGGGGGAGCTAATAATGACAATGATGCAAACAGGGAAGAAAATGGAGGAATTTCGCCACAGAAGGTTGCCTCTAACATATTCAGTATTCCTCTAACAAATGTGGAGCGTCTGAAGTCTACGCTTTCCACTGTGTCATTGACAGAACTGATTGAGCTGCTACCACAGCTCGGGAGAACATCTAAAGAACATCCTGATAAGAAGAAACTAATCTCTGTACAAGATTTCTTTAGATACACGGAAGCTGAAGGTATAGCATCTTACATAGGATAGGAAAAAAAAATATTTTGCTTGCATAAAATATAAGTAAACTCTTTTTAGCAACTTGGCTTATTGATTAGTAAAACATAGAATCCCTTGGATTATGGTGTACCTTGACTATTTAAAAATTGTGAATGCATTTATTAGTAGACACAGGAATAGGATATAATATGTAGACATGCATGGACATGGAAGGATCTGTGAGATTATCAATTCAATGCGCCTATATGGGCGGAATATGTCTCAGAAAATATGAAAGAGTATAGGTACATTTTAAAGTGCTGAAGGATCTGACATATGAAGAGAAAAATCCTAGTTGCTCCCAAAGTACTTTCATAGTCTTCTTAAATCTCATTCTTTGAATATTATCAAGCACTGGTCCAGTTTATAAATAAGCATGGAACCAGATAAAAGACTTTGGGACTAAACTCTAAACCATGGATGGTCATATAAGTTCCTTATAATTTCTGAATATATATATATATATATAAAGGTTGGCCCAGTGCATGAGGCTCTCACCATTATGAGATTTGGGATGGTCAGATGCATGAAACCATACCACAGCAACAGAGAGGCTGTTTCCATGACTAGAACGTTTAACCACCAGGTCACAAGGCAGTGATCTTATCATTAGATATGATACCTGCATATACTACCATCTCACAAGTACATGTCAAAGTTAAGGGGTGAAGTTATAAACTGTTGTTAATGCTCAACAGTAACCTAACATAAACAAGGATTAGTATTGTCAAATTTAATTGTCAAGTGACTAATGGCATCTACAAGAACTATGGTCTTGTGGAAGTAGTTTAAAATTCAAGTATACATATCATGATTCCATATCTATGTTCAATACTCTAAGTGTTCCAGTGACTTTTTTGCATCTTTTATATATCATGTTTCCATATCTATGGTGTATACTCTAAATAATGACATTTAGCACATGAGCTAATAATTGATGAAAACCGCTAACATGCAGATGTTAATGCTGTCAAACATGGGTAGATTAGTGGCCAAGGAAATAATTATGCTTGTCAAGTTACTTTACTATCCATTAGAGTGTGAGATTAATCTTTCTTTAAAAATATCTTGATTTTTTATCGTTGAAAAATATCCATAAAAGGTGGCTTAGTGTTCTAGAAGAACATAAATGAGATCAAAATAAAAGGAAAAATGAACCCTAGGAGAAAAAAGGGAAAATTTGTTGAAGTTATCAAACTTTGAGCCTGTTTATTTGGGAGTTAGAATTCAGGTTATTAAACTGCTTTCAATGAATGTCTGACAAGCTTCTCGGGAGAAGTTGTGAGACAGGATAGAAGTGTGAAAGGATTAAGAAAGAAGGGCCTAGGTATTGTTCTAGTATACAACCTACATATAAAAATACTTATATTGGAGTTCCTATTCCTGATTATATCAGTGTTGCCTTGTGAATTGGACAATCCGTCAATCAAGTCCCCATTTTGTTTACCTAGCACAATCTCCAGCACTAAGCAGTGACAATGATCTAGTGTTTCACCACTTTATGCATATAATGCAAATTGAATACTGTTCTTTACTTCTTTATTTGCAGCTTTTGCAACTGTTAAATAGACTTAAATTGAATGATAATTTTGAACACTCAACTCCTTTGCACTGAAGCCATAATTGACCAGTGCACTTTTGGCATAATGAGAAGGGATATTTCCCTTTATAACACTTTTGAAATATTTTATCCTCCGATGTTGAGATGAATAAAATCATAATTTCTCCTATTAATCTTAAGAAGGTGTCAGGAGCTAAGTTCCATGGCTTAGTGTTACATGAGTGAACAACTCCGTACTTAAAAACCTTTTTGCACCCTGATCTCATACCAACCTACATGGATATATATTTTACTAGATAGTAGTTGTAAAGTATCTTTTAGCTGATCTGTTATTGACATCTTTGCTTGCGGTATTTGGTTAAGATTTCCTGTTTATTTGTTGTTTATGTTCTTTTATTTTTGATATTTTCTGGAATGACAAATTCACACTTCTTTTCAATTTCATTATCATACAGGGAGGAGGTTCTTTGAGGAGCTGGATAGAGATGGCGATGGCCAAGTAACTCTGGAAGATCTAGAAATTGCAATGAGAAAGAGAAAGCTGCCACGAAGATATGCTAAAGAATTTATGAGCCGTACTAGAAGTCACTTATTTTCTAGGTCTTTTGGTTGGAAACAGTTCTTATCATTAATGGAACAGAAGGAGCCAACAATTCTCCGGGCATATACTTCTCTGTGTCTAAGCAAGTCCGGGACACTGAAGAAGAGTGAAATATTGGAATCACTAAAGAATGCAGGACTCCCTGCATATGAAGATAATGCCGTTGCTATGATGCGATTTCTGAATGCTGACACAGAAGAATCTATTTCATATGGACATTTCCGGAATTTCATGCTTCTGCTTCCCTCTGATCGTCTTCAAGAGGATCCTAGGTAAGATCAATATCATCATTTGATTGCTTTTTGATACAGCCCAACCAACTAAAGCCCAATTAACTAAGGTGTACGTGAGGAACAAACACAGCCAAGTTGCAACAGAATTCAGTTAGTAAGGAGTGTGAGGGGCAGGAAGGCATTATGGTTATTCTGGAAAATTGGGATTGGAATTGGGAGATACTCAGGGCATCTCTAAGGGCTCGGTTCTTTTCTTGCTCATTTGTAATCCTGTCATTTGATTTCACTTTCACTGTAACTCTGTCATTTGATTTTTATACGTTTCTGCTGTAATTTGTTGTTTAATACTGTTTTCAAGTTGAATATCATTTAGATTTCAGTTTCTTTCCACAATTCTTTCTTAAAATCGCTAGAGTCTATCACTTTTCTTTTTTCTTCCATGTATTACCTACAAAGTGCATCACTAATCCTTTTTTTTTTTCTTGGTGGGGGAACCAATAAGTGCGTGCCATTCTATGTTGTCAAAATGTTGTGCTTGTAAGGTATCTGTTGGTCTTACAGAATTGTGGGCAGAACAAACCATGCAGAAGCCATAAGCTGATTCCTATGGTAAAGAGGTACACAAGATGTGGGCATTCCATTCCAACCACAAATCCACCAAAGAATTGCATAAGCTGCACATTGCCACAAAGTTTTGGCCTCCTTGCTTTTACCAAAACCTATATTTATGAACCATAAACAGCTGCTCATAAGTAGGACATGCCAAGTGCTCACCTTAAAATGCAAGGCCACTACATATTTTGGCTGCTGTGTTTGATTTGGCTAGAATGATTGTCATTGTGTTAAATTGTTGTGGTTTGATGTAGTCCCTGTTTTTCTTTCTAAATTAGTGCAGAAGCGTTGCAGTTAGTACTTTAATTTCCTTATTGTCTCAACTTCCAACAGCAGTCAATGATTAAGATTCATCTTCTATATTAATAACTATTTTATACATTCAGGAGTATTTGGTTTGAGGCTGCAACTGTAGTTGCCGTTCCACCATCTGTGGAAATTCCTGCTGGAAGTGTTCTAAGATCTGCATTGGCAGGTGGCCTTTCTTGTGCCCTGTCTTGTGCATTACTGCATCCAGTTGATTCAATCAAGGTGGTGATTTCATGTTTTTTTCTATTTACTGCACATAATTCCATATTCCTCTTACAGCTGTCTGATTTTTATTTTTTTTTGCTCCTTTGCTGTCTTGTTTGATATGTTAGACTCGGGTACAAGCGTCAACTATGTCCTTCGCTGAAATAATTTCTAAGCTGCCACAGATTGGAACACGGGGTTTATACAGGGGGTCAATCCCTGCTATTCTTGGACAGTTTTCAAGGTTGTTTATTTTATCTCTCTTCATTTCTTCCATCCTACCTTACTTTATCTTGAAGCAAATAAGCAGAAAAGAAAGGGGCATAGCTTCATTAATACTTTCCCTTAACAATGATATTATAGTGTTATTTTCCTTTCAAGCTCATACTAGCTTTTGATAATGCAGCCATGGCTTGCGAACTGGGATATTTGAAGCGAGTAAATTGGTGTTGATAAATGTTGCTCCGACACTACCAGAACTCCAGGTTTGTAATTAGAATGATTTAAAATGAAGGGTAATAAATGCTTCTTAACCTGAGGGCACAGCCTAAGAAAACCCTTATTGAAATGATGCAAATGTTTTAAATTAAGGTCCTCATCCCTGATAGATTAATAATTTTCAAATACCAATTTATATTTTTTTAATACTACAAGATTTGTGCACTTTGATTGACCTTTAAAAGTGAAAGTTCGAAATGGCCTTGAAGGCCGATGCATGCAAGAGGGAAAAACAAAATTTTTCTTTGCGGAATATACATGCACATGAAGACATGCTTTAGGAAAGCATGATGTTACCTTGTTCGTGAAATCACCAGATGATCAAGGCCGGTCTGAAGGGTTCAGACCCTCTAACGTTGATCCACACCACCCACTCGTCTAGGTGCAAGAACTCCTTCTTGTGAAGGCACCGTATGATCACCACAAAGAGGCTTGCTAGGCGCTCTATATGTGAAGATGGAGGCTAGGTGAAAGTGTTTGAAAAAGTGAAGCTCTCAATGTGAAAGCTTCACAAGTGGCGCAGGAGAGAGGAGAGAATAGGCTAGGTTTTCAGAAAAACCCTTGGAGGAACAACTGAACACTTAGGCACATAAGAGGAGAGTATTTAAAATAAAATACCAATCAGATTTTTCTCCTAAAAATCTGATCATTAGGCGCCAGATAGGAGAGAGAGAAGTGGAGCTGTTTTATTTCAAAAATTGCTAACAGGCTCCTAGAATATTCTCTTGAGAATTGGTTCAAAACCTATTCAAAATTCTGATCAGAAATCTTCATAAGATCAGCTATATGGTGCGCCCCATATAGCCCAAAAAGGTGACCAGATACATCTGAGTAGTTGCATTCAAATTTGAATCAACTCACTCAGATTTTCTCCCAACTGACTGAATCTTCTGGAGCTGATTTTGATGAGCAAATCTTGCTCACCAACAACCCAAATCAGCGCCATATATGGCCTTGGATCTTGTCCAAAAGATTCTCTCATGATGCTAGTGATTTGTTCCAACAAGATCTCATCTTATTCTTTTGTTATGAAACAACCTTTCATAGGCAATTCAAATTCAAATTCAAATATTTGAATTCAAACATTCAAATATTCAAATTCAAATGTTCAAACATTCAAATTCAAAATTTAAATTTTCAAATTTCAAAATTCAAAATTCGAATTCAAAATCCAAATTTCAAAATTCAAATTTCAAATTCAAAATTCGAATTTCGAAATTCAAATTCAAAATTCAAAAATTCAAAATTCAAATTTCGAATTCCAAAATTCAAAATTTAAATGTTTGATAATTAATTTAACTAATTAAATTAATTAGTAATGTCTTGGACTATCCAAGCCCATTACAATGAACCATGCGCCCTCCACCCCTTTAGGTGGAGTTCCAAACAACTTCTTGGGCTAATAACTATTATTAGGCCCAATACCTTTAATGCTAGAGCATCTAGACAATTAGGTGTTTGTGTGTGACCCATTAGGTCTAACTTAGCCACTGACATAAATGGGCTTGGGCCCAATAAGCCCACAACCCATCTAATGACAACACAGAGCACTAGCAATGTTTTGTTGCCCCAGAACTAGTTAGATTAATGATTTGATCATCCTATTAAACATATTTGGTTGCCGTACATATTTCCTTTCGTCTCGGTTACCTTCCCATAAAACCTAGGGTAAGGAAGCGTATCAACCCCTGCGGTTTAGGGTAAGCTTTATTCGAAATTAGGGAATCTTCAATTTACAGACTCTAAAGGCAGATCATCTCGTTATCTCTTTTACTATGCATAGATTCCCGAGTCCCTGTAAATGTCATCCCGATTTCTCCGGTTTACAGATAACCTAATCTCTCACAGAGATTTGACGAATTCCTTCAGCTTATCACCCTAGCCCTGTGTTCTTTCAGGACAAGCCCAACAGTATACCTATGAGTCTCCATGTTTCAGGCAGACGAGGTGCACAATCAAAGCATGCCTTCTAGAACACAGTCTAGGTAATAACTTCTGGTCTTAGGAAAGACATACCCAAATATAAAGAGACTACTCTAATGATACTCTCTGTGAGAGTTCCTCATAGAGTCTCTTTGTGGGTCCGTTCAGTGCGAGCTATACCCTTATAGGTCCACCCACGACTTTAGCTAAGACATCTCCATATCTGTAGCACATGAGGTCTATACCTTGTATCCATATACAAATAGATAAGTCGTGCTAGTCTTACCTGAGATTACTGACCCCATTCTCAGTATCTCTAGACTAGGAACATAAAATTAGGAATGAACATCCGGTATTCTTGAATCCTCATGATTGTGATCTCATCACAGATACTCAAGAGATACCTATTTTATTTCACGGGGTTTATCAAGTTATTCATAATATATTAATATTAATATCGAGACATAATTATGAAACAAGATAAAGAGTGCTTTTATTTATTTGCGACAATATTAAAAAGGTCTACATCTCTGTCCTTATTTAATCATAAGATTGTCTCTAGGACACCCAAATACTAACAAAAAGTGTATTCTTATTTCTTACATTGTGGTTGATAATTGGTTCATTGTGGTTAATAATGGGGTCTGATTTGTTGGTACTTCTCTAAAATCTATAAGCTTAACTTATTGGCATTCATGTAGGTACAATCTATAGCATCATTCTGTAGCACGTTTATGGGAACAGCTGTGAGGATCCCCTGTGAGGTGTTAAAGCAGAGGTTGCAGGCTGGTCTTTTTGACAATGTGGGTGAGGCTTTTGTTGGGACTTGGCAGCAGGATGGTATTAGGGGTTTCTTTCGTGGAACTGGAGCTACCCTTTGTCGTGAGGTTCCATTTTATGTTGCTGGCATGGGGCTTTATGCTGAATCTAAAAAGGTGTGTAATTTCCATGATCCTGGTTCTTGGTCTTGAGTTTGTGTATGGAATTTATTTTGAGATTTATGCAGTATAAAATTCCTTGAAACTCATTGTATATATTAAAATGAATTTTTATATTCATCCAAATAAATATTAAATTATTAACTGAGTAAGCAGGATTGTATTAAGGAGTTTTGACAGTTTCACGGAGAAAGACATTCAGTTTCTTCACTGCACTTCACAATCACACATTTTTTTCTCTAGATTGTTAGACCTAATTATTCGAATAATATTTATGTTTCCCTCTTCTGTTTAGGTAATTCTTTGCTTTCAAAGAATCCATATTGGTATTCAGGAGAGGGAGGTCAATGTCAGTTATTAAAATTAAGTTTTGTTCATTAACATCCTACAAATATTGGCTTTGCTGAAAGTTTCTTTAACATGACCATGTATCAGAGATTTGGAATAGAAGAACATCTGTCATATTACCCTCACGACTAGTGTTTAATGCAACAAATTAGCAGCAAATGCTCAGATTGCGTAAATCTCAAATGAGTTGAAATAAGACTAGCTAACCTTAATCCATTTTTGCCAGTTAAAATTATATTGGGGCATTGGTTTGGTTGGTTATGTTGTCATGAATAGTTAGTAGTATTTAATATTTAATAGTGTGATGCTCTTGGCATTGGTTTTTAGGCTGTCCAAAAAGTACTAGGGCGGGAACTGGAGGCCTGGGAAACAATTGCTGTTGGAGCTTTATCTGGTGGCTTGGCAGCTGTTGTCACAACGCCGTTTGATGTCATGAAAACTAGAATGATGACAGCAAAGGGTCGGTCTGTGTCAATGACATTGGTAGCATTCACTATACTCAGCAATGAGGGACCCCTTGGCTTGTTTAAAGGAGCAGTGCCCAGGTTCTTTTGGATTGCTCCTCTTGGTGCCATGAACTTTGCAGGTTATGAGTTAGCAAGGAAGGCCATGAACAAAAATGAGGGTAAGCCAGGCAGTTCGGAGTAATGTTTCATACACCAACCAAATGTGTCTGATGGAATTTTTGAGTTTATTGCAGCTCATGTCTGGGTTTTCATTCTGCCTATCATTGATGCTGCTATGAAATATGCATTTTGTTTCCTTTGTTTATTTTCTACTTTCTGAGTCTGCCATTTGTAGCAGCAGAACTAACAAAAATTTTCGTCTTATATTTGCAAACTGAAAGGTTCAATTCATTTCTTCATCTAATGTATAGGTTTTAATCTTTTGCATCTTTTTGTTTTCTTGGTTCATTTAACTGTCTTCCTTTTGAATTGGTTTGAAGTTTTCATTTATTTGATTAGAGCACTCAGTGTCTTTTACGATCAACTTATCCTTATATTATTATTAGTAGTTTAGTAGTAACCACGTTTAAGTTATTAGTATTGGTGTAGTGGTGACGGATTTGGGTAATTTACATGATGTTATAAGTTCAAACTTAGTGACCTTATAGTATTAAAAAAAACAAAACAAAAAAACAGGTTTCAAATTCTCCTGAAATTTATGCTGGCACTTAATGATTTAAGTTATGTGAAAGCCTCTATTTTTAGAATTTCACTTTTGCGGGGATTATATATTAAGTGCGGATATAATTTTTATACCAACCTCAATTTATTACCTCTTTAAGGTGAATCTAGCTTTAACTTTTTGAGTCGGCAATGAAATTAATTTCGAATTGAGGTTTAGTTGTAGTTAAAATTTTGTTCATTTTTTAAGAAATATTTGATGGAAATTGAATTCAATTTTTTTTCTCAATTACTTAGCCTGAGTAGCCATATCCTGTTACTTGACCTAAGAGTTCAGGTGGCTGCATGGTAATGATATTTCATTATAATTCTTGATACACTAACAAAGAAATTATATTTCAGGAGCCTGAAAATAAACTTCTGTAAAGAGGTTTGTAGACATACAACAATAGTGAATGATTATAAATAATTCTTAGTTAAAATACTTTTATTACAAATTAATGATTAAAAATACTTTTATATTAAACAAATTATAGTTAAGTAGTTACTATAAAATAATAATCAAACAAAGGCTAAATCATTTGTGTAATATATAAATTTGATGACTTTCCCATCTCAATTTTGATTTTTGAAGGCTATTCCGTAGAGAGAGAAAAAATTGACTCATTATAAAGCTGCTACTTGTATTCATGGCCTCAAACTGATTCATTTTTTTTCTGGGGACAAACTCGCAAACTGATTCCATGCGAACTAACCATTGCAAATATATAACGAATGAACATCTTTTTCATTTTTTTTTTTTGTAAACAAGGAACATCTTTTTATATATAAAAATAAAATAAACAACTTTCTTCTCACTAAATTTACTTGGTGAGTAAAAGTTAAAGGAGAGGGATGCTCTCCTGAAAACCTATCTCTCTTGTTATAAAAAAAACATAAAAACCAAATAACGTTCTCGAGCCGAAACTATCTGCCAAGGGATGGACTAGTCGCTGTTTCTGCTTTATGATTCGATTAAAATCAAAACAAAAGCTTCTTTACCAGGGGAAGATAATTTATTAATAAAAACACATCATTTTCTTGAAATTGAGTATCTGACCTGACACCACAAGACAGCATTATATTGACAACAATAGCCGGGTTTTCAGGTGAAGTCTAATTGATTAACAGTACCACCAAAAATTTTGAAAACTCTGAAATTGGGTATATGAAGATCCCTTCAACTGAAAAAGAGAACTGAGTTACAAAGAAATCAGTGTGATTTATTAAACCAGCAAGGAAAACATCAACTTCTGACGGTTTTTCTACACTCGGAAGTTTTGGAAATCAATAGCCCCAGTAATCGTTCCTGATCTCATCGTCAAACTTCTTCTTCAGCTCAGGATGCTTGGCAAAGTACTCATCTGCAGTCATGGTACTAATCTTGTTCTGTGAAAATAAATAACAGTGTGAGATAGTTAAAATTATATGAATCTGAAACATCTATGTGGTGATTTATATAACCTTCAACTCTTGTACTTCAGCAATCTCCTTTTCCAAACGCTCAGACTCCTTCACAGATTTCTCCTCTGCTTCTTTAAGCTCAACTAACTGCAGGCAGAAAACATATATATATATATATATATATATATATATATATATATATATATATATATATATATCACTTAAAGATATATTTGATTGAGAGAATTTAAAAAAATAAGTACAGATTCGACAAAGGGTCTTACCAGTGCATCAAATTTAGGCTTATATTGAGGAGTCACATTGTCAACAAACTTGGGGACCTCTATGCCTGTAAAGAAACCATCACACGAAACATTAAAAGTTGAACTAACGGTTTGTAAAACAGTAAAAACAAAAAAAGGCCATATATACATGTGTGTGTGTGTATCAAGTGAAAGCGTGAGAGGTGAGAGGAGCCAATATTGACTATTCAATCTCACATAGATGGTTAAGATTAACTCCTCTCACGTCTTTACTTGATACAATCCCTGTATACACACCCACCCACAATAAATACACAGAGATTAAGGACAATTTTCAATAATAAACAATCTTCTAGCTAATAGGAATTCAAATGCAGGATTCATTACACATTAACCAATGATAACAGAAAACCAAAGCGTAAGGATGAAGTACTACTTTGTATTGCAGATACATGAAATTCCTATGCGAGCTTATATGATATTACATACAATTTCCAAATTCTAGTCCCAACTGAATTGGTCATAAAAGTAAATTATTAATGTGAAAGGAAGAAGCAAAATATTGCCTTGGCTGTGTACCCAATTTCTTTTCTTTTTCGATATGGGAAATAACAAAGAAACAGTTCCAAAATCTCCATTATAACTTTTTTAATTTACATTCCAATTAAAATTTGAATATATTGTGTTTTAACATGCATTAGGCAATAGATTACAACATAAGGAAATCAATTAACAATAGAAGCAACAAAAGAATGTTTATTTTAGAAATATCAATTTTGAAAAATATCTTGTCAACCTCGTAAGTCCTAACTGTACTTTTCCTCATTTCTCTAATTCTCTCTAATATTTTTTTATCAAAAGAATATGGTATAATTAAGTACCGGAACTGGACCCAGTTGAATTCATCAACATATTTCTACACCTTTTCCACTGCCACAAATCTATTTCAGGAGAGAAAAATTAAAAAACAGAAAGCCAAAACCTTTAACTGACGTAAAATGATGATATATTCACCGACTTGCGCATCAAATCAAAGTGGTTTCACAAAATGGATGTAAGGCTCTCAGCTCATAGAGGAGTGCAAGAGTATAACAAGAATCACATTTATGAACATTTAATCATGTTATTAGCACTAAGAATGAGTCAAGTAAACTAACCTATAGTGGAACCACAAAAAAATCTAAAATATATATAAAGGGCATTCACCATAGAGTTCAAAAACATACTTTCATAATGCTCCTTGTACATATCCACCAAACGAGTGCCAATTCCTTTTCTATAATAATCCCAATCTATGGGCTCTGGCTCCTACAGAAAACAGAAAGTGAAAAATGAATTAGCAAGACTTGAGTAATGTGTATATATATATAAAATAAAATAAAAAGATTAATTGAGCAACCTCTGCTATATAAAACAATTGCAAGAATCATCTAACTAATTTCTTAAATGATCACTTCGAATGGAAAAGCTCTCATTCAAAACATGACGAAGAGGTGTATAACAAAGTTTTACATAACAGGAAAGTTATTGTTTAAAAAAGTTATCTGAAAATTATTTCTAAAGCTATTTATCTAGCATTACATTACTGAGGAAGAAGAGCCACTAAGTACGTGTTTGGATTATCGTTTTCTGTTCAAAACACCTTCTATTCAAAATATTACCGAAAGAGCATTTCAGAAAAAGAAAACAAAAATCCATTTTTCTCGACAAATTATTCAAAACCAGGCAGGCACTAAAACATGTTATCATCGAATAATTGTAATTTGACAGTAGAATAGAATAAAATATGGCATAAATTGTTCGAAACCTGTTATCAGTTTTTTCCCCCTAAAATCAAACCGATCTTAACATATAAAAATAACATGGATGGAGGGAAATCCGAATCCTATATACAACACGATCCAATTCACAATCAGCAGAGAAGAACGAGAATCAGAAGGAAATGAGAGAGATCTATGAAAAAATCGACCTGGCTGAACTTGGTTTGCAGTTGGGAGTTAACCTCGTCGAAAGCGCGACGAAGATTAAAGAACTCCTTGCGAGCCTCATCGGTGACGAGAAGCTTCGCCATTCCATCCCAATCGATGCTCTTCCCGGCCTTGAATGCTACATCCGTAACTTTCTTCACCGTTCCGCTCATTTTCCCTGCGATTTTCTCTTCTCCCAAACGCGATTCTTCTTGTTGCTGCTGATGCTGCGCTTGGTTTTTCACACCCTGCCACTATCACTACCCTGCTTCGTGGTCTGGGCCGGGTTTCTTATGGGCCGGCCCATAGTGTGATCCAAATGAATTCTTTCATACATTTTAAACTTCCCTATATTTTTTTATTAAGCACGCAAGTCTCGTGAATTTTTATTGAGTCATTTTGGTTTGGGCCTTTGAATCATTTGTTGTACAAATAAATAAGAAAGGCACTTATTGTGGTTTCTGTTTGAATGATATATTTAATAATTGGTCTTGTACTCCTGTTTAATCTAATCATTTACATCATGTTTCCCATACTCATTTGTGGTTATACACTTGTGCGTAAATTTATAGTGTCATCCAATCCTTAGTAAGAAGCTCATTTAAGTTCATGACAAATGTTTTACTGCCTATAAAATCTCCGTGTTTAATTGTGTTGCATAGATTTAAGTCTTCTAAAGTTCCTGTTCATAGCATTAGATGCATATTTACATTGAAACTTTTGATGTGATTTTGAATCAGCGTAGCAAGAGAAGAGTATTGAAATTTATTGACATGACTGCTTCTGTTGCCACATAATACCTAGAATGGACAAATTATATCCAATTTTACGCATCACTATTAGACATTTAATGAAGGCTAGGTGAGTTGTTGGGATGTTGAAAGTTGAAACATGATCAAGTTGCAATTTTGTACAAAATTGCTGTCCAAAATAATCAGAAAACTTTGCAATCTTTAATTCTTTTTTTTTCTTTACCAAGAATAAAAAGAAAAAAAAAATTCCTCCTTAAACTCGGTTCGGAAACGGTTCAAAATTGGTTTGGAAATGGTTCTAATTCGAAATTGGTTTGAAATCAGTTTATAATCGGTTCGGGTTGAACCGATTCGACCAGTTTTAAACCAAACAAAACCGATTTGATTTACAAAAAAAAATGTTCGGTTTGACTATTAAAAAAAATCTGGTTCGGATCAACTTATGCCCATCCCTAAATTTTTTAAGGGAAAAAGAAGTATCATTTAAAAGGACACAAGTTGTGTCCTTTTAGATGATTTACACACAGTATGACCGGTTATACTTTGTGTAAATCTGAAAAGTTTCTTTTTTTTTTCTCTCCTCAGTCACATCGCTGACGTGTAAAGTGAAAAAAAAAACAACTTTTCAAAATTACACAGAGTATGACCGGTCATACTCTGTGTAAGTCACTAAAAGGACACAACTTGTGTCCTTTTAAATGACACACACTAAACCCATTTTCTAATAGACATATAGAAAATGATAGGTTTATTCCCAAATTAAATGGGCTGGCTCTTTGGGCTTCGGCCCTTTTTGATTATAAAAAAAAAAAAAAAAAGAGGCTGGCTCAACCAGGTGCATTAAAACTCAACATTTTCACACAAATAATAAATGGGTTTCTTTGACTTATGAATTTGTTTTGGGTTATGCTGATGTTAGATATATTTGGTTCTTTGTTAGAGTGCTTTCAAAAGTCCCAGCCTTTAATATTGAATAATGTCAAATCATTTTAATTATAAAACTTTCCCTTTTTAATTTTCAATATCTCAAACAAGCACACTATATTTAGAGATAAAGTGAACGCAGCCCTCTACATTCTTGACTAGAAGTGTATCTTTTCTATGGACTAACATAAGAAAACTAGCTACCGACAAATTTCCCCACTTCAATTCTTGTGAAAATTAAAAAAAAAAAGAAACCCGTCAAGGAAGCTGAAAGCCAAAGTTGAAATTAACTTTAAAGCCATTTTTTTGAGTCAAGACGCATGTCAATAAAATATATTTTCATTCCGTCTAACGTGTTCTTAGCTGGTTCACCTTATTAACTCACGAAAATGAAGACAATGATTGATGGAGATTGTATCATCAACAAAAATTAAGTGCTCCATAGCATCTGGTTTCCATGTAATGGCTTCAATTTTTGTTAGCTATGATACATCCACCCTAGCAATGTCACGCACTGCCAATATTGCGATAGATGAACTTTGGTAATTAAAATCTTGTAATTGTTAGATGTTTTAATCATATACGAATTTAAGATCGATTCACATTCACTATTTAAGAAATTATAATTATAATTCTCATGAAACCTATGTGAAATTCATGTCAGTCATGTCAACGATGCAAAGTATTCCACAGGGTATGCTTGTGTAAGCAAACCCATGTGAAAGTCATATTCATATGATCTTTTTTTCTATAGGGTGCTCAATTACTTATGATTCCATGAACTAGATCTTTCTCTTCACTTTCATTTGCCAGCTATAATAGTTAATTATATTAATATAATTAAGACCAGTTGGTTGAATAATTTAGAATGCTCTTGACTCCTTATGTTAGTTACCAACTCGAACAAGTACTTGGTACTCGTCGTACTTCTTTGACGGAGTAACTAGATAGTAACAAGTAGTGGAGATATAACTAACTATGCGCACATAAATTAATTAAATTTTCTCTTAAATCTTAAGCTTTTCAGGCAAATTGGTCATATGTAGCTAGCATGCGACTTTAGGGGAGCTACATCTTAATTTTTATTCTAAGGTAGAATCATTAGTTAGGAATGAAAAGTGACATAGGTTATTCTACTTATTTTTTTTTTTATATTCACCTTACCTATTATTTTTCAACATTGTTAAATCAAAATCTTAAGAGGAGAGAGAAATAATAAAAGTTAGTTGAGATTCTAATCTAACTGTGTTAGAGAATGATAAGTAAGGTAGACATAAAAAAAGGTGGAAATAAATCTCCTTATGTGGAAAAAAATGTGACATGATCATGTGAAAAAATTACAATCATTTAAAGGTGAATCAACAGTTATGATTTTGTAACTATCTATATTAATATATATTTTCTCTTTTTTTATTACCATTGATCTACCTTTGTATAATTATGATTCTACACATGACCTTGTCATTTTTTTTTTCACATAAGAAAATTCGGATAGAAAAAAAAAAGTAGATAGATAACCTATCCCATTAAAACTATACATAAAATGCACTGATCCCTTCTCCAAAAATCAAGGGTTTCACACATCCTCCATAAATGTTAGGAATGAGGATGGAGAAAGAAACCATGACTAGAAGGTCATGACGGCTGCTATAATTAATGACATAGAAAAACATGGCATTGCAGGTCAAGTTTATATAGTTAGCTAATTGAAATGGTCAATTTATGCACAGAAAAACATTTTTGCAATTGTGGAAGAAATGTTTTTCTGCCACACACATTTCTTGTAATTATTGTGGTAAGATATAATGTAAATTTAAAATGAACTCTTTTTTTGTGGGACCCATTTATGTATTCCGTTTATAGTATGCAAACAAAATTTCGTTTTCTAACCATTTGTGGTTGGAAAAGCTAAAGCTGCCGTACTAAGGGGGAAGCACTAGACCAACGCAGACACAAAGCAATAGATGAACTTGGACTACTTTGGGAAGCATGAGAAATAATCAAAACAAGACAATCAAAGTATAAGAATAGTACGTACAACTGTACAAAAATCGGTTGCGTACGTAAATGGTTCCTTATACGAAATTAACTAGAGGTTTGGGAACACTTATCACGTCAAAGCAATATGAGCCAATTGTTTACATAAATATGTATTCATGATGAGTTGATCCATTGAACTATGAATATACATTGATTCCATTCGTATGGATTGCCTAGTACGAATAAATTTCTGATTTTATCCACTTGGTGGTTATTCACATTAGTTGCTTTTTTTTCAATGTAATGGATGTGTTTAAGTGAGTTTAGGTGGGAACCTAATAATCATGAACTTGTAGAATCTTCATAACACTTGGTAAGGTTCAAGTTCTAGACGGGCATTTTATCATCTGGATTCATTGGTTCTCACTTTTGAAAAGTTGGCAGGGAACATGCCAATATGTACAAATTCAAGTTATTTGTGTTGTGTCTTGACTTTGAATTCTATTGCACCAATATTATATCAAGCAAAAGTAAATATACGCAATTGAAACTAAAGTGTGTGGTTGATTCGAGTGAAAAAGACTCGTATCTCTTAAACATAACGTGGTTCGTGTAGATAAACCGTTAAGGAAGATTTTTATTTTCGATGCTTAAATGTACTTTGAGAAATAAAATAGAAATATATACATAACTGACTGAAGAGTAGTTATGTTTTATATAGATCCAATTTATAAGTCATTCGTAATGACAAAAAGAGTAGAAGAAAAACTATACTTTAACAACGACAAAAGCTGGCATTTTCAAAGATAACATTAAACTTATTTGCAAGGTCAGTTTTCTTTCTTTATTTAAGTATGAACAACAGTTAATGTGTTTGAGGAAAATTAGACATTAGGATTTAGGAATAATGATATTTAGATGCTTGTGAAACGAATTTGAACGAACTGGAATTTTTTTTTTTTCATCTCTCTCTTAGTGATCTCTCTCGATTTCACTTTATATATAAGAAAACAGTGTACAAATCTAAAACGGAAAATATTATTTTTGTTTACTGAGGAAAATGGTGGAGCATTGAGAAAGTGATGAGCGAGAAAATTGTGGAGATATTCCTTTCATTTATAATTGGGATGGGACGAAGACTTTGTCACATCATTAATTCATTATGAGGAAAATTTGTATTTCTTAGGAAAAGAAAAAAAAGAACTATTTTTTTTAATTAGTTCAAAAAGGTATGGACGAAGACTTACCACACACATTAACAAGAATTTATAATAACTTCCAGATTGCTAATAAAAATCATTTATATAATACTTATACATTGTTTTATTCCATCGTTGTAGTAAATTGTTAACTAAGTAATAAAAACAAATTGACCTCAAGTAATTGGTGAAAATCAGGAATAAAACACAGATGCTTGGAATAACGAATTTATCAGGAATTTAGAGGATATTGGATCTTTTATCTTAATTTCATTCTAAGGAGAGAGGGACACAGAATGAGCCAACGAAAGGAGCTATTTTTTTTCAACTTAGGACAAGGGTTTCGGACTTTGTCACATCA